CTGAAAAAAAATATATATATATACCTATATGTATTACATATACAAAGAGCCTGCAAAACTACTGCCGAGAGTGTAAAATTATTATTATTATTAATTAAATAATTAACTATACATATTATAACTTTTTCTAATATCGTAAACGTAAGATTTCGACGAGTATGTGTTGAATTGTTTGACCATTATCTACAAAACTGTAATTGACTAATATCTGCTTCTTAAAATTTAGATATCGTTATGAAACTGGTATAAAAAATTCAAGGGAATTCCCCGACTTTACTAGCTCATTTAGCGTTACCCAGGGTGCACCGCGTGGAGGCGAGCTAGTCTTACACCCCTCTGGTTCCAAATATCTACAAATTGTTTTGAAATATTGAACTTTTTAACGCGAATTTTTAAATAGGCTGCTGTCCATGTACCACATGGCTCCATTTTAGGCATTTTTGAGAGGCCCCCCTGCCCCACATGTCCTTGAACTAGAACAACGTAGTCTTTCGAACAGTTCTGAATTTTTCTTCGAAAATTTATTTTAATTTAGTTTTTTATTTATTACAAAATATACAACCGCGGTTATGGTTTGAAATAGCCTTTTTATGGGACCTTTTTCACGGAGCTATATGGTTTATGGATAGTCCCTAGGTCATTTTGAATTTTCATTAATTAAATGAAGCAGATATTGCAATATACGTCCTTACTGGTAATAAATTACTTACTTACTAGACTTTGCTGGTATATTTTATATTAATTAATTATGTAATTAACACTAATTGTACCATAGCAATAGAAAGCTTTTAAGGGGGAAGAATTTTTTGTTTTCTTGTTTGAAGTCATACAATACGTTAAGTAGTTTAATTACTTAGATTTGTTTTAAGAAAATGGACAATCTAAATTTTTAAAATCTTCATTATATGTGTTATGTTCCCTTGTCCCCTTAAAGGTTTCTCCATACGAATAGGTTATTAATGAAGATGACCTCAACATGATATCTTGTCATCCACAACTTTTTCGTTTAAGATTTTTAAAATGCTCAAATTACTAACACAAAGTAAACAATAAGTATACTTTGCTTCGTTATATTTTTATAACTTTTCAACTGTAGCAGGGCATCGTTTTAACTAGCGCAATATGTAAGTAACAAGTTTAAGTAATAATCAATTAATAAAATAATTATTACATTAAAAACGTCGATTGAAAATAATATCGTTCAAAAAACTTTTTAATTACTATTACACTGATTAAGTCAAGAATTTTCAGATATGTTTATATAAAATAATCTTTAAAAATAACGTTTAATTTTCTTTTTAAAAATATTCGTCTTCAGTTGATTGAAGGACATACTTGTGCTTTTTAATGAAGTTATTAAGTTGAAAAATTATTGCAGTATTGTTATTGAATTCGAATTAGTAAAACTAACATTTAATAGAATAAATTTAAAATTACTAAATGGGTGTTAAAATGTTTAGGAATGTAGTAGAAAATTTGTTAAATTAAATTTAATCAAGGAACCTAACAAACTAAATTTAATTATCTAATCATTATTCGACGTCTTCCTGAAACAGTAGATGTACTTATTCATTTTAAATCAAGTAGGTTTACATAAATAAATAAAAAAGAGAACTTAACCCGTTGTTGTTAGAATTGTTATAAACTAATGTGAGAAATCAGGCATCTCCTTAAATAAATCTACATGCCTTTCCCTTGTAATAAACTTTTGTAAGTAAATATTGTTGAAACTATATTGTGAACTACCTAAGTTACTGTTTTAAGAAAGCAAAGGAAAAAAAACTGAAAATAGTAATGTACGAATTAATGCATAGTATAGTTATAATGTGGCACTACAGATGTATAGGGTAACGTTGGAGCACAATGACATAAAAATAGATACTTTTAAAAGTAAATATTTTCATTGTCTTTGTTACAGAAAATTTGAATTTGAACTCAAACTGAATAAAAATGTCACAATGTACAGATATACCTAAACAAAAATTATTACCTAAATAATAAACTACATAATTGATTTGCTAGAAATAATATCCGACAACGAAGTGAAAATTTACAAAAGTTTGTACATTCATTAGATATATATATAGTTCCTTATAAACAAAATAAATTAAACTAACTCACTACTATTTAAACAATTATCTATCGGCAAGTGCAAATTTTGATTTTCATTTCATTCTGTTTTCGTTTTTAGCAATAATTTGGATTTTATTATTTTGTCAACCAAATATAATATTGTGAAATAATACAGCAAAATAAAAAATAAACACAAATACAAGACAGGAGTATTCTACATTTTGTGTTTAATAGGGTGGGTAAAGTGGGGTAGTTTGGAACATCGAATGAAAAATATAATTGATACGAAGGGTTGATAAAAATGTTGTGTGGGTAAATTATAAACTCAAGAACCTTGTCTAGATTTGTTTTCTACATAAGAAAGTCAAACAATAATCACGTCTCATCATCTTAAGCAATAATTTCGGCAGTTCTCAATTACCCTATTCTACCCTATCTCTTGCTTAAGCCTAAGTGCTACTTTCTTCTTTAGTAGCTGGCCTAATTATTGTTATAGATCGAAAATTAGTTCTGTTCATAGTCTATTTATGTTTCTAGTTAACAAGAAACATTTAAAATCGTCTAATTAAATAAAAAAAAAATAATTATAATGTAAATTCAAAGGTTATTGTTATTGATTTTGCGAATTGTCCATGTACATACTANACAATCGGAATACGTACATCTTATTTTTTATTTATTAAATGAAAAAAAAAACGTGTAGATACCAAACGTATTGTAAATTATTAAAATATTACACACTTTTTGGCTAAAAAGAAACCGTTAACAATCAGACCAATTTCTTTTGTTGCCGTCATTCTTAACAATTGCCTGCCTAGCAGACGGTCGCACAACAATAAACTATTTTTTTACGTACCTAATAGACATGTACAATAACGCTTAGTTTTTTATTTGTTACGATTTTACATTCATTTCGGGCGTTTTCTGTTTTTTGACACAAACAAGCAGTTAAGAAATTGGTCTTCGATCGAGGGTAGTGAATAAAACACACAAAAAAAATAATAAAAATCGGATACACAATTAGTAGTTAAGGTTATATATTTATCTAAATCGTATGTTAATTGTTAATCTAAATCTGTTACGTACTGTTAAGGATAGTCGCAATATTGTAACATAAAAATGCTCACGGCGACTGCGTACGAACAAATATAATGTAATCCATCACAGAAATAATCTTTTATTTGTTCTTATCACCTAAACCTGAACAATAAATCATATTTTGTTTGAAAACCAGAAGAATCAAATTCAAATCAAATGAAAATACACAAACATTATTGAAAATTTTGGTGGAGGCGCCGGGACAATTTAAAACAAATGCTTTAATTGAGCTATAATTTCGGTTTCATTGAAGTGAATTGATGAATTTTCATCTTTAAATTATATTTCTCTCATATAAATGCAGTTAGCGTGCTAATTATATTCTTTTTTTGCAATTAAACTGCAATGTGTAATATAATAGGTATATAGACAACCAAACATACAAGAAATATTACAACTACGAAGAAAGTTAGAAAACGTTTTTAATAAAAAATTATTGAAAATTTTAGTGAAAGCGCTGGGACAATTTAAAACAGGCTTCAGTTAATCTATAATTTAAGTTTCATTGAAATAGGTTAATGAATTTTCAACTTTAAATGACATATTTTCCATGTAAGTGAAGTTAGAGATGCTATCGATTTTTTGTACGATTTTCTTCGTATGCAAGAAAGATAAAACTCATGGACGAATTTGAAGAAGTACCAAACCGAATGGTTGACAGCTATATCTTCTACCTCGTTCTTCCATTTTGTCTTACTGCTCATTCTACCACATATACACACATACATCTTTCCAAGAAATTTATTTTCATATATATCTACATGTTGGAACATAAATCACATCTAATTTCTAACGTTTAAAATGACCATCTGCAGTAAATTCAGCAACACATACTTACACCGAATCACAACAATAATAAATAACATGAGCACAAACATTATTACGATATATCAATTGCCACGAGATGTCCATCACCACCTGCTGCAAACAATATTTTACCATCTCCAGTCGAAGTGATAATACTCACTGAGAAATCGACAGAACAAGACCTTCCAGGCTCAATTTTGTTATTAGGCGATAATGTCCATTCTTTTATCAATTTGTCCCAACCCCCCGTATATATTTTTGTGACATTGTTGAACCTTTCGGCGAATATTGTATTTATAATGAGATCATGAGCATTCTAAAAACAATTATCGTTATAGGTATTAGGAAAATTAGCCTTTGACTTTATGGGTGACGCATGTTGGAATCTACACCCCCCTCCCCCAACAAGAAAACTTCAAAAACACTACTTACATCCAACTGTGCAACTTCTTTGTACTGTTTTTCTTTAGAACTTTCTATGACCACAAGTCCCTTTCCTTCCCGGTTCATGAAAAACAATTTTCCATCGGTTAAGTTTATGGGACCCCTTCCATGGACCGATTTTATTATGCTGTACATCCCCTTGCCATCCTCTACAGAACATCTAAATTATTTTAAGTAGGTACATTAATACTTATAACGTATTACCTTTGATATGAATTTCCACCATGGTAAGATAAATGTCCCTTATGGCATAAATAACGTTTCCCACAATTATCATGTCTTTCACTGGCTCCAATATGTTGATGCCACAGAAGAATTTGTCGTTTTTAAATAGCATTACCTAAAATAAAAACAATTATCGAAAATAAAATCGGAAACATTGTATCATTTCTAACATCTCCTTGGTCATCTCCGGCGTACAGAATCCCATTAACGTATAAAACTTTCCATATTTCTGTTTCGCCCTTGTATACCAAACCTTTTTCTTGTAGATCCAATGTCCAAGATTTAATTGTTCCATCATTCGAACACGAATAAATTGTGTCTTCACTGGCGGTCAAACTGAATACAGAACAAGGGTGGGCTTCTACAGTACCAAGTAGTTTTAAATCATTTGACCAAACCTCAAAAAGTTTTTTATTATCATCTTTGTATGTGCATACATGAACTACAAAAACTGTCACCACTTGTAGCTTAGCATTTAGAGCAGTCGTACGTAAAGTCAAATGTTTAGAGTTCGATTCCCGACGAGAATGTGATAGCAGTAACAATTTTTCCACAGTAATTTGAGGTAATTTGTACTGAATAAAAATTAAATGAACTATTTCGCTGAAACCTTTGCATATACCTTTATCTTTCCATCATCAGCAGCACTGTAAAGCTTAGATTTGTGATGAAGAAGGCAACTTACGTCGCTGCTATGTTTATCATTATCATCTGCCCTGCATTTTATCGATAGAGTCATCTTGCTGCAATCTGAAATTAATACAAATTAAACAATTGGTTTCCATGAACTCAAAAATTACCTTTCACTTTCAAATGCGTTCAGCAAACGTCTGCTTCCCGTTATATTCCTTTTAGGACTAAAACCTTAAACTTTTGGCAGATCCACCAAACGAATTTTTATTGGCACATTATTTCATTATTAAAAACATACTTAATGATTTGAAAGGCCTTCGATACTTGCAAAGCTGTATTGAAAACGAAAACACTTGCAAGTTATTTATAAGTTCTATACGTGACTTTGTCTGGGAGAATGAAATTAATCCCGTGATTTTTGTAATTGTTTTATTAAACATGCTTCACAATTGATACAACCACTTGAAAATTTGAATTAGAAGAAAATTAATTGGAAACTCGGATGAAAAATGTATTATATATATTCTTTTAATAGTAATCTATGATTTTAAATAGTAAGTCAAATAAAAATAAATAGAGAATTTTCGTGTATCTTAATTAATAACATCAGTTTTTAATAAATGATGTTGTTCAAATTTTGAAAATATTCTTGAAGGGCGCTGAATATTAATAGCTTAAACTAGTGCCAAAACCCAAAACACTTTTATTTGTAAAAGGGTTAGATTAAAATTACTTGATAAAAAGCCAAAGTGTCACATATTTAACTGAAATTTACTGAGAAAATCTACTTGACAACAAAAATAAACTGCTATTATTTTTATACCTTGCTTCGGGAAACGATAATGTACCTAGAGAAGGCAATTTGTTGCTAAATTTATGCGAATGTTTAAATTTTTGCAAATTTTTATAAGGTTTCTGATACCCTTAATAAAAGAAAACTTACTTTTTCCCTTGCACCGAGATTACTATCTATATTTGATTCACCGCAAACACTAAACAACGATGACAAAAATAAAACGCCTAATGTCGAAATTTATTTTGGTCCACGTACATATGCCGGAGGCAATGAAATTTTCCCGAAAGCAACTTCACAAACTTGTGGTGCTTTAACCCTAATATTTATAAAATTTTTTCATGTGTAAAAGAACTCTACCGGATTAACGACTTCTAACTGAAATAATTATTCTAAAAAAAGTTAAATAGATACAGAAAATGGCAGATATATAAATTAAAATTCTATGTGTCTGTATCTTCGTTGTTATCATAAAATTTTGATACAATTCTTAGGTATCTTTCGAGATATTGTGATTACTGATAGTTTTTTTACAATGTTACCAGTTTTTTCTCTTTAAGTCGATAAAATTAAATACTTTATTGTATTTAATTACATTCTTTACAGTTTCTCACAATACTTATATCACTTTGTTGGTCTAAAGAGTCGCAGTCCTTAGGTAACTCTTGCAAAGGATAATAATAAAAAGTTAAAGTATTGATTCTCAATTTATTGAATACCATGATTATACAAACTGTCATTGTAATTCATTCTTACAAACTAAAAACTTATTGTCACTATTTAAAAATGTCTTTTACAAGATGAGTTCTATTTGCTGCTTGGTGTTCTTTGGTTTTTCTATATTATCTATTCAAAATCAACTTTTCTATTAACAACATAAGAGCCTTAATACTCATATCTACAATACATTAGATTAGGTTTTTTTTTATCACAATGATGAAGAACAATTTTACAAAAACTTAAAAATGAAATGAATATGGTATAAAAAATGATGATTGATGATGAGTTCGATGACGAGAAAGTTTTTAAACGTCAATGCGAAGAATGTGGCCGTCGCTACCTCCGGCGTAGATCTCGCCTTTGGGTCCTGCGGCCAAAACGTTGACTACGAAGTCCGCATTGCATTGGTTGACGAGGCTCAAGTTTTTGCCTGAAAGTTTCCACTGTTTGACAGTCTTGTCCCATCCACCGGTGTACAAAAGCAAGTCACTTCCGTCCTTTACAGCCACCAATGCGTTAATGATCTTCTCATGGGCATCCTTGACTTCAGCTATTAGGTTGAATCCAGATTTCTTGCACGCGTTGTGGACCAAGAGGTCGCGACCGCTTCGGCTAACAAATGCAAACTTTCCATCTTCAACAATGAGTGGAGCTCTGCCCATAATTGTTGTTTCAGTGGTGAATTGGCCTTGATGTCCTGAACAAAAGAATTGCTAAACCTCTTGAATCGCCTCAGTTGAAACCTTTGCTTACCTGGAATGAACTCAGTAACTACAACGTCCAATTCCTTGACGGAGAACAACAGGTTTCCTTGCACACCAAGACCACTAACTCCTTCCAAAACTCCAAGATTGTTTACTATCTTATCGTTTTGGAAAAACCTGATCTAAAATACAATAAAAGGTCGTATTATGTGCCTGTCTATCGACAAGAGACTCGAGGTAGTTTACCTGCCCTTGACTGTCACCAGCATAAAGGGTTCCATCAACGTAGACCAACTTCCAGAATTCATCTTCACCCTTGTATATGGTTCCTTTCTCCTTTAAGGAATCCAGTAACCAGGCTTTGATGAAACCATCGTTAGAACAGGAATAAAGGGTGTCATTGCTCGCAGCCAATGAATATACGGCCGTGTGGGCATCTACTTGACCTCCCAATTTCAAATCTTCTTCCCAAACCTTTAGTTCAAACAGAAATTAAAACCTTTCAGTTTTGAAAACAGGCCAAATTGTTGTATATGCCAGGAAACTATAAAGTGATGCAAACTATTAAATTGTAGTAGAGTATTTATAAATAAAAGGGACATTGAACCGAATATCAGCAAAACTACTGAGTGTAGGAATTTTACCTTGATTTTTCCATCATTTGCTCCACTGTACAACTTATTATTAGCAAATATGAGAGCGTTGACATCGGAGGTATGTTTGTCGCCATCGTCAGCTCTGGTTCTTACAGCGAAAGGCATTTTTGCTGTCTGTAAAAAAAGAACAATATGGTGTTTGTAAAAAACAGCAGTTAAAAATCTATTTATGAACTCCAAATTTATTTCACATCAGTTAAGAAATAGATTTTCTATTTATAAGTTTCTGTTTGTTTAAACTGATGGAAAAGTAATTCAATTCCTTCAGACATTCGTACAGCAAATCTTACGAAAACTAAAACTATTCTTAGCAAATGCTTTCAGAAGGCAAATACTAAAAACAGATTCAGCTCATGTACCAGTTGATCAATCGTTAAAACAGTAATTGAATTAATAAACAACAGAGAGTTGCAAAATCTCAAGCATTTTCGAAAAACATTTCCTTTTACTTTTGTTTAATTAACTAAAGATATTTTCAAATTATAGTATAAATTCCATAATGCATCAACCCTTAACATAATTGCTACTCTAAGAATCATTGGTAATTAAATGATTTAATTTCATTTCACTTTCTATTAACAAAAAATTAGTCGGTAATTATAAAAATATACATATAGCAATAATACAATTTATGAAAAACAACTCTTATTATTTATTGTTAGCTTTCGTCAAGTTTTTAAAAAAAATGTTAAAATTTGAGTTGAACGCCTTGAAGCTCTTGTTATGCTTTATCGAAAATATTGTTTGACTATTTAGTAAAAAGAAAATATTCACCTGATTATTTCTTTTTTCACTTGAAGGCACTTGTTTCTCTTTTGACGATTTGTCTAAGATTGTGATTCCTGGATCTAGCGTCCCCTTTATATACGATATCGTGAAAATTTTTTACACAACGATCTATTTTTAAAACAGAATGGATCTGCCAAAAGCAGAGGGGCACCCCAAGTCACGTAATTCTACCGAACAGTGACCCAAATGCCAAGAAAACAATATGTGTAATATGTTTATCACTTATTATTCAAACAATTTTTTGACATGTTGTTTATCATTTTTCTCGAAGGAAATCTGCACTTGCGTGGTCTGTACACGTGGAACTGAAGCTTTTCGTGGCCAGGTAGCTTTTGAAACACGTGGAAAGCCAATTCATACAGAAATAAGTGCACTTATTCATGTAATAAAATTTTTAAGTAAAATAAGGGTGTATTTTTAGTAAAAACACCATTTATTTTTGTAAAAAGTCACCACTATACAAAAAATACCACCACAATCTTCAATCAGTGCAACTTTGAGACACATGATAGTGTTTTAAATTAAATATGTGATTAATATAAATTATTTTATTTCATCGTTGTGGTGAATTGGTGGCAAGTACCAAGTGTGGTGAAGTAAAAGTATATCAACTTCTAATCAATGAATACCTATTTCATGTTTCTGTAAATTTTTATTATTTGTATTAAATGATGACTTTCGCCAAATGCAAGTCGAAAATATTTCCTTGATATTGGTTACTGAGAAACGAAATATTGTACATGTTTCTCTTTGTGATGTTTTAAAATGGGGTTCCATATCAACAAGAAATTAAAAATAATCTTTAAAAAGTATGTAGTACTTATTTACTCTCAAGTTTTTTGAATATGTCTTCATCCCAAAAAGGTAGGATGCCTGGGTGTACAAGGATACTTAGAGGGTATCATATATCTCTTTATTATTTATTTTAAACAAAATACAATCTAAGATAATTGAATAAATACATACAAAGAAATGTAAAACAATTCACGCATAATGAGTTTTGTTTAAACTGCGACAATTTATAATGATATTATATTATTTCTACATAATACATGTGTATACTTTACATATAACATACAAAAGAAACTTGTAAGTCCCATCTATTTTATTTTGGTGAATTAAAAAAGTTAAAGTATTTATAGTGACAGTTTTTTGTATTCACGGCATATTATGAGAAAACATTTTCTTCGGTTTTGGTGGTCCATGTTTATTATCGGAAGCTTTGCTATTTAAAAAACATTTAAAACAATATCAACAATGCTTGTCCGGTGTCCAAATCAAAATAGATTTTCATGTTTATAATCAAAGATTTGTGTACACCATTTGGCATGTACTGTTCCACACGTAGATTTGTACCTGAAATTTGTTGACTTGCAAATTGTTTTCCCTTATTGTATTAACAAAACAATACACTGTGTAAATATGTTTATTCTTCATCTTCGGTGAATATCCTAGCGAGAGGGTAAAAATACACTACCGTATAGAACCCTCTAAAGATAAATATTTTAGGTAATTTTTTTATAAAAGATACTCTACTAAGAATATTCCCGTTAAACAATTGATTGTAGTGAAACTGTACTTACTTTTTGAATCTTTAATTAAAAATCCCGTTATTACAGTTATTAATAAAATTATTTTCCAAAATGTCTTATCATTTTTTCTTTAACGTTAAAAGTTATCTATACAATAATTAAAAACCAGTGAAGTCGACCTCAAGAAATATTAGAAGCTATAAGTCACTAATAAGTCAACAGTGGAAGATTGGAAATGAATGAGATGAACAAAATTTTCTTTTGGTGAAGTAGAATTTCGTCAGGTGGCGTTCGTGTAGGAATTGTTTAATTTATAGGATAAAGGATTGAGTTCTTCTTCATTTTGAGCATAAAAATTGAGAGAAACACAAGTGCTAACTAATCAATATCATTTTTGTCAAATCTGCTTAAACAATTCACCGAAAAAAATGGTTTTCTACAGAATACTGTTCGATTTTTTTGGCAATTTAGTGTTTGTGCTTCATTGTGATATCGCAATTTCCTCGGCTTTAAAATGAGTTTGTTCAAGAAATGTGTTATTAATAAAAACTACTCATGTAAGAAAAACATCCAAAAGTTTCTACCAAATTGTAGGAAGTATTTGAAATTTGTTATTACTAAAAGATAATTTCTGATAATTTATATTATTTTTTATTGAAATGTTAATGCAATTAAGTATGTCATAAAGATATTATTATTATTATGGTAAAATTTTCCAAAAATATATAACCAATGTCAATCTCAAACTTTTCCAAGTAAAATAAAATATAAAATAACTATAATTTTTGACTTATAAAATCTAATTAATAAATAAAGTTGATACTTCCGTTCGTATAAGTAATAGAAAGTCATAAAATACGAATTTATTACCAATAACATTAATAAAAACTAACTATATGTGTTTTCGCGAAAATGCGAAACCAAATCTGCAGTAGTCATGTAATAAAACATTTGGCAAAGAATTTAAAATAAAAATAGTGTTTCTTTTAAGTTTAGAGTTGTTTGTTATTTTGTAAATATTTACAAGTCACCTTGGAGTGACTAAGACATCGTACATTAAAATTGGACAGACAGATAATTTTCAACAAGGATTATTATTTATTGATACTCATTTAGAAAATAAAGAAGCTGATGTAATCACCATAACTTTTTTAGAAATAGTTTATAACTTTTAGCCTATATTTTCTTGAATACAAGTATGTAGTAGTAATCTAAAACAAATTGTAACAGTTAATTTTCAGTTTTGGACGATGTCGAAGATGTTTTAGTGTTTTTTCATCTGGTAAAAAACAGCTTAGCTTCCAAAACACGTGTCGAATCCGCAATGAATTGTAACAATAAACAATTACACAAGTTACGTACTCGCGAAAAGACAAAAAATAAAAAAGGAATCATATGCCAACTTATGCCAGAAACAGTACTGTTTCTAAAAGTAAATTTAATGATAATTACAATATATCTTAAATTCGTATCATTAATGAATATATATAGATATTACAATAACATTGCAACTCTTACTTTTCAAAGACCTGAAAGAAAGGGACTGAAAGCAAAAACAAATTACATGCATATCTAAAATGATTTTATATTTACATATGTTTTAAAATGATAATATAATCCAAACGCCACCATGCTAATTAATCATAATTAGTATGCGTGTGGACATTCTTTCTTTAGTGTTAAAATTAGTTCTAAAACAGTTTGTTTTCTGTTTACAGATGCATTCAATTTTTACACGTGTTAGACAAAATTATTTTTACGACAAACATTCTTAAATCTTCGCTAAAAATACTCGTTATTTGACAGCACTGTAGCCGGAGTGCCAAATTTTTCAAGATCAAGGAGAATGCACTAGAAAAGTTCTACAGGAAACTGAATTTCTAGAGTTTTCTTCCAAAAATAATAAGTATTAATGTAAACAATAATACTATTTAGAGAAATTTCCATTGTAGAAAATGTATATGTGTAGCTACTCAAATTTAAAATGCTTTTTCAATAATACTATTTGTGTTATAAGTGTAAAAACTAATAAAATATTAAATTTTAAATCGAGACTTCTTATTATTATAATTAACTGTGATAACAATTGTAATTTTACCTTTCAACAACTAATTTATATTCTAATTTCATTACTTCTCAGTTTTAATTCTGTTGTATCATATATTTTTGTTATTTTAAACGTTCCTTTTAAAGGTTCTAACAAATTTCAATCATATGTGTTTCTTTACTGTGTGAAAATATCGGGAAATTTCGCCTGATAGGCAACCAATTTTCCTCAATGCTGAGCTAACATTGGAGTTGCCTAACCTCTAAATTTTACTTCGGTTGTTTTATAAATTATCATATTTTCAATAAATCATTTGAAATTATTATTAAATGAAATTGTAACTATCAAAAAAATATCGTAGAAAACGATGGAGAAATGTATAGACAACCAGTTAGCGTTTCAAGTAAAAAGTTAAAGTTGTAAGGGAAATTCTACATGATACGTTGAAGCGCATCATAATATCTATTTTTAATAGTTTAAAATAACTCTGAAGCTTACATGAGTATTTATAAATATACTTGTGTACATTTAATATCAAAATAATTCATAAACAATATCTATTTATATATAAGCATCTACAGAATGTACTTGCAGAGTATTTATGTACAAGATTAATGACATTAATTAACTCAATTTCTGATTAGCCCATTTTTCCTTTAGATATATTTAATTTAAAAAGGGATACGGAAAAGGACATAGGGCATTTTTTATCCTGAACAAAAATACTTTAACCGACGGATAGAAAAAAATAGTTTTATATGGTCGTCGATGATCTCTAACATGTATTTAGGACATGAACACGAACGAAGTCGCGGATAAAAATTAAATAATCATGTGTACACATATTTGGGTTGCTAAGTAATAGACATATGTATAAAGTATTGATAAAACGGGGTAGCAATTTTAGTGATGTGTATGATAGTACAATTTAGCTTTATTTCGAATCCAAACTAAATCTAGCTGCAGTCAAAGTTGTTAAAATATTTTGCGCAAAAAATACTAACTCTTTAATTGGTTAATACTTATGCCTGGAGAAAAAAAGAAAAAGAAGAAAACAAAAGGGCCTAAAAACAGTAAAAATGGAGATACGAAAAAGTCATCGAAACCAAAAAAAGGAACCAAAAGACCTAAATCAAAGGGATCCCGAATTTCTGGCGACATTTTCACTGAAGCAGCCATGGAAAACGCCTACATCACATGCCATAATGTCCAAGATTTACTTCGTTGTCGGGGGTTCCCATGGCCTGATGGTCAAAAGAAAAAGAAAGGAAAGAAGTAAAATGCACACGGATTATTGAATAAGGAATCACATTTTATTTATTCATTACAATTTGAAAAAACATAGCCAATCCATAACAAGTTCTACAACATTAGGGAATACATAATCGGGACGAATATACATAAGTAATTTATAATTTAGAGTGTATTGTAATTGTTTTAATTAAAGTGTAAGGGTTGAAAAAAATAAATACTTAACTTTTCAGGGTCTTTTCTTATGAAGTAATTCCTTTATCAGAATTTACCTTGCAGATTATTTTTATATGTTTGATAAATGAATTACTGTTTCATAGTTCATGATATAAAAATAGGTAGAACTCGATAGTGTAATATAGTAAAAATCTAGAAAAGTCGTTCATCCTACCTAGCCTTTTAATAAGCATTTATTTCTAGCAACAATCTGCGTTATAGTGGGAGAGGTACGACCACATCGTGTGGAGTATAAGTTACAGAAAACGACTAAATAGTTCAGTCCATATCATTTATTATAAACGGTTCATAACATCAAGAAGAAAACACGTTTTAAGAACACTTTCGCCTTTTTTTAACGTAACACAACAACCTAAAATGCCAGGAAAAGCGATCGGTATAGATTTGGGTACAACTTACTCCTGCGTAGGTGTTTTCCAACACGGAAAAGTGGAAATAATAGCTAACGATCAAGGAAACAGAACAACCCCCAGTTATGTCGCCTTTACCGACACCGAAAGGCTTATTGGGGATGCAGCCAAAAATCAGGTAAGTAACGTCTTGTTCAAAAACCGTTATAATAACAAAAAAGTACAATAAATTTTGCTTTAAAAGTAAAATCTGTGTCGAGGAAAGTAGCGCAGGTGTTTCGGTCGCTGTACCAGTTGACAACTTGCCAAATTTTCCGCCTGTTTATTTTTAGGATTTTCTAGAAGTTACCACGTTATTCCCATAAATTCTTCTGATTGCCTATTTCTTTTAAATCGGCAATAAAAGCTATAATTAGATATCTAATGAATATCGTGTGTCTCCAAAAAAATCAATGTTTGGAAAAGCGAATTGGATTTCAAAAAATACCTATTTAAAAATACATTTCGTAAAAGGCTGTTGTTTGTTTTAAGGAACCAAATTTGCCGCCAATTTGTACACAAATAAGAAACAGTCTCTTCGAAGTTGAAATAAATTGTTACGAAACTTTTTTTTTGTTAAATTTAGATGTATCTTTGAAGAACTATTGGGAACCGTTATATTTTTGTTGTTATTAAATTTGCATACATACGTATAGGAATATTTGGATAGATTTGGTGAAAATATTTTAAAAATTTACTTTCAAATGTTATAAAAAACTTGTTTCCATGTATAGTACAATTTAATAGCGTCGTCTTTGACGATGAAGACAGTGATGTAATACCGCTGGCACAATTACCATATTTGGTATAAAATAACGACTATTGCAATATTTATTATTGGTACGTACACCGAATGTACCTAAGTATGAGTTACATACGTACAAACACCCATTTACCTCCAATATGCGTCTACGTGTGTGGCGTATTTTTGGCTACATTGCGACCTCAATCTAAAAAAGGAAAGATTCTTAGTTAATCTGACTCATTCATGAATATTTCCATTCAATTTTCTTTCGCTACGACCAAAAATGGCATAGGAAATTGAATGACCTTGCAAGAAATTAATTAGGCAGTGAAGAAAAAAGAAAATGACCTTTATTACAGTCCAACGCATGACAATTTTTTATGCCAAAAATGACTAACATTAACATTACGTGGGCCTCCTCAATTAAAATTCAAAATACCTAGACGCCTATCGTACAAGATGTTCATAGATTTCATTTCAAAATGTTTTCTAGGTGGCAATGAACCCAAGGAACACCGTGTTCGACGCCAAGCGTCTCATCGGTCGTCGTTACGATGATCCCAAGATCCAGGAAGACATTAAACACTGGCCCTTCAAGGTGGTCAACGATGGCGGAAAACCCAAAATAGAAGTCGAATATAAGGGCGAAACCAAACGATTCGCTCCAGAAGAAATTAGCTCGATGGTTCTGACCAAAATGAGAGAAATATCGGAAGCGTTTTTGGGTAGCAAAGTCGTTGATGCTGTCGTCACAGTTCCAGCATATTTCAACGATTCCCAGAGGCAAGCAACCAAAGATGCTGGGGCCATTGCTGGTCTAAACGTGTTGAGGATCATCAACGAGCCCACCGCTGCTGCTCTGGCCTATGGTCTCGATAAAAACCTTAAGGGAGAAAAGAACGTTCTCATTTTTGACTTAGGTTAGACTTAAAGAAACGGTAAACAGAAACATCGGTAGCAATTGTAGCGTCTGTTGTCTTTAGGTGGTGGAACATTCGATGTGTCTATCCTTTCGATAGACGAAGGATCGTTGTTCGAAGTAAAATCCACTGCAGGTGATACCCATCTTGGAGGCGAAGACTTCGATAACCGTTTAGTCAACCACTTCGTGGAGGAGTTCAAGAGGAAGTACAAGAAAGATTTGTCCGGAAACACCCGTGCACTTCGAAGATTGAGAACGGCATGCGAAAGAGCCAAGAGGACACTTTCCTCAAGCACAGAAGCCAGCATCGAAATCGATGCCCTCCACGAAGGGGTTGACTTCTACTCAAAGATAACCAGGGCTCGATTTGAAGAACTTTGCATGGACCTATTCCGGTAAACAACTTCAATATGTAAATCATCTAATCGTGACTTAAAAATGTTTTCCAGTTCAACGTTACAACCTGTTGAAAAAGCTTTAAACGACGCTAAGTTCGATAAGGGACAAATACACGACGTCGTCTTGGTTGGTGGATCAACCAGAATCCCCAAAATCCAGAAAATGTTACAAGACTTCTTTTGCGGAAAAAGTTTGAATTTGTCAATCAACCCAGACGAAGCCGTGGCCTATGGGGCAGCGGTTCAAGCAGCAATTCTTACCGGAGATACCAGTTCTACAATCCAGGACGTCCTTTTGGTTGATGTTGCCCCACTATCCTTGGGTATTGAAACTGCTGGAGGAGTCATGACGAAAATTGTCGAAAGAAACTCAAGGATACCGTGCAAACAAACTCAAACGTTTACCACCTACTCAGATAACCAACCTGCCGTCACCATTCAGGTGAGTGTACTCATTACGAGATAAAATGAATCAGCACCTTAATTACGTATTATGCAATTCCTTCAGGTGTACGAAGGTGAAAGAGCGATGACCAAAGACAATAATCTTTTGGGAACGTTCAACTTGACGGGCATCCCTCCTGCTCCCAGGGGAGTCCCCAAAATCGAGGTCACATTCGATTTAGATGCCAACGGAATTTTGAACGTGTCTGCTAAAGACAGCAGTACCGGAAAATCTGAAAAAATCACGATAACCAATGATAAAGGACGTCTATCTAAAGAAGAAATCGACAAGATGCTCGCCGAGGCAGAAAAGTACAAGGCAGAAGACGACAAACAAAAAGAAAAAATTGCCTCCAGAAACCAACTTGAAAGCTACCTGTTCAGCGTCAAACAGGTGAGTTGTGAAATGAAATTAATTTTCCTGGAAACGATTTAATAATGTTACATCTCTACGCAGGCTTCTGAGGATGCTCCAGCGGACAAATTAACACCTGAAGACAAAAAGGTCGTGTCGGACAAGTGTTCCGAAATACTGTCTTGGTTAGACAGAAATCAGCTAGCGGAAAAAGATGAATTCGAAGAACGGCTGAAGGAATTGCAAAAAGTGTGCTCCCCGATTATGATGAAACTCCACCAAGGAGGCGGTGGTGCTAAAGGGGGACCGACTGTAGAAGAAGTAGATTAAGTTCAAAACTATTGCAATTCCTTTACTTGTAACAAAACAAATTCAGATAAATAAATTCTTTGAGTGTACGAATTCTGTTGGTAACTAAAATTACATTGAGAAAGGCTTTACACCAAAGGCGAAACGTTAGTGTTGGTTTAAATTATTTACCTTTCAACAAATTGCTACAATTTATCCTACGATATACATTCTCTCGCTTTCAAATGCTCGAGGAAAAGTGTTAACAGCTGTTTAATTAAAATCTAATTTGTTTAATTTCGTTCTTACAGAGGAATATACTTTTACTTGTTAGGAATGTCCAGTTTTTTTTACTATTCTTTTTGGACGGTCTGTATTCTACAACAATAACTAGCAGTACGGCCTTGGTTGAATGATGGAATTTGCCCTAGAATAAAAACAAAAGAAAACGTAAATTACCATTTGTTATCAGCCCACTTTTGGGCCATTGTTATTTATTGCAAACTGTGATAATAATTTCCGCAGTTTTTTGATCGCGCATGCTGGTAATGGGTTCGTTATTGGAAGCAAAACAATCTTTTTTAAAAAATAATCATTGAATATTATTATTTACCAATCAAGTTAGACCTGGGATTACTTTGAATGATAATTATCGTCGTAATTAATTATTTGTCATAAATTAATCAGACATACACGTGGTCAAGTAAATTCTAATTTTAAATTCTGACGATTTACGTATAACGGTAATTAATATTGATTTGATGATGATGATGATGATGATAAAGTTCATAAGGTGATGTTTATAATAAATTGTTAGTTTACCTTTTGTTACTGTTGTTTGTAGTGTAATGTCTACATTTTTTAAATGCCTGGTGAGTATTATAATCTTAAACCTATTTCTAATTAGTTTTAATTAAAAAATGATAACAACTCTCTCGTTTTAGTAGTTTTTAGAAATTCACGATGAATCTCATTAGTAAAGAAGAATTCTATAAAAGTGTTACTTATTTAACATGTTATGAGCTGCTTCATCCCTGGAGCAAAAGTTGTGTTAAGGCATGTCTGTTTATGTCACTTAATACAGTTAAGGGTGGCACCAAGTTTTTCATCCCTATCTACCTTGTACGTTCTCTTTTAAATTGCTAATTATATATAACTCTACTTTTCTACCACCTTTTACTTTTGATTTCAGTGTAAAATAATAATTAACAAAAACAAACTTAGTAAAAGATATTTACTGTTACAATTTCGATGTTACATTCGTTCAGTAATTTACGCTACATTGTATGCGACCTTTTTTATGACCTCTATGTGTACTTGCAGGTAAAAACAACAATAGTTAAATTAATCACAACTTTAATACCTAATTTTAGGCATTTATGTGGTCAGTTCTTCTATTATAACGTTGCGTTCTTAGGGGGATTTTTTGGCGGCGCTTCTATATTTATAGAATCGGAATTTAACAAAACTTTAACGACTGTTCTCTGGGTAAATTTGGTACGTAAAAAAGTCTGTTAGTTAACGATTTATTTAAAAAGAAAGCGTAATTTTTTATTAGTGTATAGAAACAATGATTAGGTACTTGGAAGCTTATGGAATTTTGAAGCCAAACAAACTTTTCTTTGGGGTTTCGTTTATGGTGTCCTGCTCCTTGATGACACATCTTATGATGGAACATGATCCAAGTAAAAAGTTTCTTAAGTTGTGGTAATTATAAAACGACAAAATTAAACTCCACCGCGGGAAATCCCCTAATGGAGTAACAATTTTCAGGTTTTTTACACCTAATACTACAGATTTGAAACAAATGGAAAAAGTTAAGCAGTGTTTTCATAAAGATTCTTGCACAAATTACATATTTCAGGTGAATTTAAATACATTATCGGACGTCTAGCATGTAGATTAATATTGTACACGTTGCAGGGTGCTTACAAGTATTTTTTAATCGGATATTTAGTACAAACCCTGAAGACAGTATTGCCAAGAGCTGGGATAATATTGAAGCAGCCCCTGTTGTTACTTCAACTGCTTTTTCGGAAAAATAATTTTATGATGGCTTCATTTTTCGGTTCCTTTATTGCGATTTTTCGGGTATCTAGCTAATAATACATACAATTCTTTACTTAAGAAACAATATAAAAGCTATTTTTATTATTTTAGGCAATCAATTGTTATTACAGTGGCAAGAAGAAGCCGGAGGTTATGGGATTTTTAGCAAGCACTTCGTACATTTTAAAGCACGATGTGACGATTGCTATTACCTCCTTTACCACTACATTACAGGTATAAAAAATAGGGGCGGATCTGTTTAAGGGTTTTTTGGGTTGCGGCCTACGGCTACACTATAGAAGGCAGCTTTTTGTCCCTAAGTAGTATTAGCCCAGGGTCCCGCAAATTTACGATCCGCCCCTAATAAAAGCTAAACCAAAACCCAACTTAATTAATTTTAGTATTTGTTGCACCCTCTACGACAAACTCTTGAAGAAAAGTACAAAATTCCATATCGAGAGCTTTTGTTCATGCTTTGTAACGGTTATTTGATGCACGCTAGATTTTTACACCCCGACCAATGCCCCCAGTATGTGATAAACATGTTGAAAACGACCACAAATGGAGCGTGAGTATTTTAATATTTATAATGAATTACACAAATCGACAACTTCTCCTTTCAGAGCTGAAAATGTATTTCGAAATACTTTAAAATGGAGTACAAATAAGGAGTACGTGAAGAACTATTTTTTCAAGATCAAGGAGAATGCACTAGAAAAGTTCTACAGGAAACTGAATTTCTAGAGTTTTATTAAATGATTTAATTTCATTTCACTTTCTATTAACAAAAAATTAGTCGGTAATTATAAAAATATACATATAGCAATAATACAATTTATGAAAAACAACTCTTATTATTTATTGTTAGCTTTCGTCAAGTTTTTAAAAAAAATGTTAAAATTTGAGTTGANAATCGACAACTTCTCCTTTCAGAGCTGAAAATGTATTTCGAAATACTTTAAAATGGAGTACAAATAAGGAGTACGTGAAGAACTATTTAAAATAGATAAATAATAGTTGATTATTTTGTTATTATTGTTATGTTTGGTATCTGTTGTAAGTGTTAATGTATTTAATAAACAATTGTTTAGTTCAGGTGTAATTTTAATAAATCGCAAATCAAAGATGCTTTGGCAGGTAGGTACTTTTCGAAAACAGTTAGCCTTGTATTTGTTTACATTAAACAAAAGACAATAATTTAGAAGTCGCTGTCTAGTAACGCGTTTACACGAAAGTCCAATATTTTCCAAAAATCACCCCAGAATTCGCCTTATCAATGGAAACCAATCAACAAAATATACGCAACAATGAGTTTACTATAAAAGTTAGTAAGTTAGAAACATCTATCTCCTATAACGGTTCTTCAACCACAAAAAGTATTGATGACAGACGGTTTTTATTTCTGTAATTTTTTTGTTTTGAAAATACAGTGTAGCTCATCGAATGCATGCTACTATAAGAGACCGGCAACATTTAACGCTTCGGATGGATTTTACGTCAGTTCCTGCCTTACTGAGCCTATCGATCTAACATCGTACAGCAACAACTCACCCAGAACTCCACACAACAAACAAACCCAGTCCCCAGACTATCACCAGGTAAATTCTCATTCTCTTCGTGTGCCGGCTAACAGAACGAGATAGATCAAAGTTGATAAGGAAGTTTTACCATTTTTTTTTTCGTGAAGTTTTCCGCAAACCGAATACTATTGAAGTCTCCAATGGAATCTGGACAGATCGAGGAGCAGTGCGACGCCGAAGTACTAAATGCAGCCAAAACGTTGTTCTCCAAACGCACCAGAACCCTGTACCATTGGATGTACCCGAATGCATCGATAAGCACCCTCAAAACTGCAGTCGCTTCAGCATGGGACAAGCTGAACTTTAAAGAGAAAGATTTCTACGTATCACAGGTACGTTAATATTCTAAATCGATGGATTTTTTGGGAAATATCATGGACTTCTTGTGTCTTTAAAGGTTTTGGGACGATTCGGATTCTCTAAAAACAACGTCATCGTAAATCCTCACTTGACCTACGGCGGAATAAATGGTAACTTTCTCCCCCTGGACCTGTCAACCGATAATCCCGAAGGATACGAGGAAGCCAATGCGGCAGTGTCGAATCTTCTGCTGAGTGAAGAGATGGTGCCTCAAAAAACCGTTTCGTACGCTGCGACCACCTTCGAAGATCCCACCCGTTTTCTGCAAAGGAAAAGAAGAAGAACCGGACGACCACCAGGAAGTAAGAACAAGATGAAGAAGCCGTCGATTGAAGTGAAAGAGGAAGAGGTGTTCGAAAATGATCCCGAATTGCATCGCGAGTTCGAACAGTTCAAGTGGATGATGAGCATGAGTAATCATAATGGCACAATTTGTTGAAAGTGGTCCTATTCTCAAGCACGAAGAATGGCCCTTTTCTACCTGATACTACAATTAATTAACTGTTTCTTGTTGTTTGTGTGTTCGCGAGTGAAATAATTAAGAAACAATTAAGTGAAATAATTATGGAATTCTTCATTATTTGTAAGAATGCTTTTTGTATTGGTTTTGAAATAAAACAGATAAAACCCTACAAACGTTTCTTTTAAAGGATTACTACTCTAAGTATCATAAAAATGCAAATACTTTTCACTTCATCATCATAAGGTCGTCAGTCCTAAGACTGATTGGACACGCACCTTCACTCTTTCCTGTCCTGAGCTAATCTTCGCAATTACCTAAAACTAGAACAACCCATATCCTTAACTATTTGCGAACAATATGGTAATCTAATCTAGGTCTACCTCTACCCCTCTTAACTCCCGTTTCTGCCTCTAATATGTCTCTCACTAGACCTTCATGCCTGAGAAGGTGTCCTACTAACCTAATTCACCCTTTATTTCTTATTGAATTCCAGAGTCGTAGAACACACAAAATAGCTCAAACCCCAACGCCAAAACATGACACTGTAGTTGTCCGAAGCACTGAAGTTCACTTCAGTCCCTGAAGAAGATATCCTTGTTACCGAAAAGTGCTTCGGACAACTACAGTGTCGTGTTTTGGTATTGGGATTTGAGCTATTTTGTTTGTTCTACAACAACCGCCAGTTTTTCCAATCTTCATATTCCTTAAAGTCCTCTGTTCTCCTATTCTTTCTAATACCTTTTCATTTCTAACCTTCTCTATCCACAGTATCCGCCGCGACCACTGTCCATGTTTCGCACCCGTACAGCGCAATAAAAAAAACATCACAAGTTTACGTATACTTATATAACTTAAATATTTACCTAGGTACATACATATACATACATATGGGCATTATATTCTAAAGAAAACATATAATATTAAGCATATAAAAAACTGTACAATTTGAACCGTGTTCATAACAATACTGGCATACAGTACTTTTCAACAAATATCCAAAAAGAAAGGTCACCGGTTTACTATCCGATCGTTGGTCCAGGGTCCTTTTAATGGCCCCCCAATTACCTTATCAATAAAACCTTAAAAAAGTCTAAAAAAAACAATTTAATTCCTTGGCCTGTTCCTGTTTTGTACCGGTAAAGCTCCAGGGGGTAAGTTGATAAATTCCGCAGGAACATTTTCAGGTTCATCTTCTTCAGCTGGTGGTGGTGGTGGAGTTGTTGGGACATCACAATCTTCAGTCGGCGGTACAACGCATCTCCTGGATCTTCTGTCAAAGACCAACATTGCTGGGCACCTCTGGAGACGGGGGTAGCCTCCCTGGCACTGCCAATACCTGTTACACGACTTACCCAAAGGTACGTTTCCGTTTGCATCGTCGTTACAAAGGGCTGAAAGAGAAACGAGAGACTCAAAAGGAGGTCAACCGTTGTCTACGTAGATAATATAATTAATAAAAAACGGAATAATTTGTTAATGTGTGATGTGTATTGATGGTATATGATTGTGTTGTGTAACAGTCACTGGGTCCATTATGGCATAATGGAAAGTTATCGTTATTGGACGGTCGCTTTCTTCGAAGACCAAACCTGTTCGGAGAATGTTAAACAAAGAAATCACTTACGGTGCTTTTGACAGCCTTCTACGTTATCAGGCCAGTCGCACGAATGGGTCTTTTCGTTGTATAGGAGACCACCTATGCATAATTGTTCTGTTGCGGTACCGTTCCAGCACGTCCAAAACCTTGTGCACGACGATTCGTGACCGAATATCCCGTACAACCATTCGCAATGTTCCGTAGACAAAGGCCCATCTACGACGACAAAAAAATATTACAATAAACGAATATTTTCGATAAAAACAAATGGCGGCTTACTGGCTTGCTGCCTTCCTTCGCAATAATTTGCTCTCCAAGGATAATCACATCCTTCTGTAACTCCCCTATGTTTCCCGACGAAGACTAGCCCATTTGGACAATCATACAATTCAGCTTGGCCATCCACACATTCCCAATATCTATCGCAGTAGGTTGCGTCCGCTACGACACGTGTTTTCGTCTGACAGGGGTCTTCTTGGTCCCGTTTTTGACAATTAACGGCCCCTAAAAATTAATTATCGTTTCATCATATTTCAAAGAAACTGCACGATATGTTAATCTCAATGACATTGATTTTATTTTGCTCCAAATAGAATTATCTGGAACTCAAATACCTAAGCGAAGTTTTTTGTACTAAATATTTTGAAAATAATCACAAACGTATTCAGGTCAGAAATTTTTCAGCGTTTTGTAATATGCATTTAATGAATAATTCATAATTTTGTTTAATTACAACGAAAATTCCTTTTGATTCAATAAAATCAAATCAATGTTGTATGTCGTAGATATATAGATCAATTACAAACTTTTTTTTTTCATTTGTTATTATTTTACATCAATTACCATTCCATTCATTGTCTTACTAGAAACAACAGTAGTATCAGCATGATTCGCAATAGTTTGCAAGTAATGCAAATAACGAAAGTAAAAGTAAGAGATCTGGTGGACTGGGTCAACTATGGCCACGTTTGATTCCACAACTTCCAACAATTTGCCCTTTTTGTGCTAGTTTCTGCGACTATAGATGACCTGGTATCGCTTAAGTACTCTCGAGTATGTAGCTTAGATTCCAAGAAAAAATAACTTTATCGCATTTGAATTAACCTACATACTCTAAAAGTTTAAAAAACATGCAAAATAAATGCAAAGCTTGAACTATTGTTTAATTCTATTGAAAAAATACAATGTTATTCGTTTTAGAACGTTCGAAATTCCATGCAGGTAATAAATAACACCGGTTTACTCAGCGATTGATGGTCCAGGGTCCTTTTAATGGTCCCCTAATTACCCTATCAGTAAAAGCTTAAGAAAGTCTAAAAAAACAATGTAATTCCTTGATCTATCCTAGAAATCAACTGAATCATACATGTTCGCTGCAAATATATTTGCTGTTAATACGATTATAATTCATATCATTCGCTGCAAACACAATTTGTATGTTTGGTTGCCTATCAGTGGAAAGTAATTGTAACATGTAATAAAAATAACAAAATTTTAAAAGAACCTGTCTATAATAATATGGGTTTATTAATACTTTATCTTCTACAGCTTCGCTGGTATTAGTTAATATAACGTTTCATGTTTATTTAAAAGACTAAATTTCACTGCTTAAGTGGAATTAATGATGAGATCAAAACAGCTTCTTATTCGGCTTGAAGAACCATTTTGGGGGCAATGTAATATATGTAACTACATATGTATTTATATTATAAACACATAAGTTTATGATATAGCAGGTACTCCGACGTTTTGAGTTGCATAACCGTCGTGAAGACATCACTTTCCAAATATTGTTACGCAATCCAAGTGCGGAAGTTTCATTACAGAATCCGATGGTATTTATCTTTAATTCACCTGCTACTTATGTGTTTTGGTGTAGATGAGAAAGGTTGATTATGTATGCAAACTTTGACACCATTTTTGAAGCTAACATCAGACGCCTTTAATATGTACTTATTATATGTAAATACGATATATTTTACAAGAAAAAGAAAGGGAGTTTAAAGAACCTTTAAAAAAACTAAAAGGCGTTTCTTTAAAGATGGCATATTATATGCCAAAACAAGTTGTAAATTCTTTCTTTTTTTTTAATAAGAAACACTTGGTACTGAATTGCCAAGCACAATAAACAATTTTTAATTAAAAATATCACATATAAACGACTGGCAGACATGGCAGATGACTTTCTTAAGTAATTATGTAACTACTGAAATCATGTATTAATATATAAGTTTAATATATGTATAAGTATTTACGTTAACGAAACATTATGTGTTATATTATAATAATAATATGTAATAAGTAGTAACTGTACCTACAAAGGTAGATGTCCTTTTTCGAAGTTGACGGTTTAAAAAAGGATATGGACTAAAATAATGTTATGTTTTACCTCTAGGTATTCACTGTTACTTTTTACCGTAATAATCCTCATTAACTACAATCATATCAATTATAAATAAGTTACGACAAAGTTATGATATTAACAACTTCAGAAAAAAGTCATATATTTTACGTACAAGATAATTCTAGTACATGAATAGAAAATTCTCCTTTAAATTGTGATAGCAAACAATTTTTAAACAAGTTGAGCTTTTTTTTAGAAACTTATCATCCCTTACTGTGTGTATATATCTACCTATATATTTACAAACAGCTTTTCCTAAACAAAGCGAATTGATTACTGTTATATTACTGTGGCTACATCGAGTTTTATTTCATTTTGTTTTGCGGCTGAAAGTACTTAATATATGTACATATATTTTAATTAAAATGCGTAAAACGTAGGTATCTACATTGCTTGTGGCGGTATGCGTGTTAAACAGACGCTTCTTTCTTGAAAGTCTTCAGAATTCTTTAAATAACTGTTACATTAGACCATACACATCATTTTTTTATGAACCAAATCTTCAGCGAAATAAAACTTTAATACGATAGGATTTAGAAAACGTTAAAGTTACATTTCTAAATGGACTATTTCTGCCAAAAAATAGGATCGTTACTTTCGTTTTCAGTTATAAATAGATAGAATCTTCTCAATTGTTCCTTGCAAAACATCAGAGTAAAAATACTCATCGTTAGACAGAGTTAATGGAAAGAAAAGACAACATATTTATATTTTTTGGGTTTTCTAGCCACACAGGTAAGTTCCGTTTTATTCAACAGTTTAATAACAATAATATAAATTATCTAACAATGCTAGAGGTCATCTTGAATTGGTTAGTAAAAGGATTCTGATTCATCTCCTCATCCTTGATATGGGCCAATGTATTGCATGTTTCATAATCATTCAACATACTAATCGCTGAACCGTTAAATAGAAGTCAACTTTACTAGACACGACAACCAACACAAATTGACAATGAAGATAACAATAGAAATGTAATCTTATAATTAAAAAACAATGGTATCAAATGTAATCAGAATAATTAAAGTTTCAATGGAACTTTGAAACTCATGTGCGTACCTATAAGTAGGACATTTTGAAAAAGTTATTTTTGCTATTGAAATACAAAAGGTTTGAAAATTGAACAGTGCTGATGGTTGATTGAAAATTGAACTTCCTCTAAGACTAAAACTAAGACCGAATATGTAAGACCAATACCAAATACTCAAGCCTAAAGGGAAAATTGTTATGAATTAAACTATTTCAAGCAAATTCAATATATTATTTTCTTGCAACAAAACATTTCTAGTATTTGAAATTTTCAGTTTGCTTTATCGATTCAACACTCACTATCATCATCATCATAAGCTCGTCAGTCCTAAGACTGGTTGGACACGTAACCAAGAATGTCCTCGGAGTAAGTGTTCTTTGTTCTTATGTATCGATAACACGCGGTTGAAATATAGAGACGAACTAATTTTTTTTGATATTTTTTACTTCTTTCAAGTACGTTCGCTAAAAGGTCGATTTATGCATTGAAGGAAGGGTAAGTTCTCGAANTTTCTCTTCACATACGTACGCTTAAAAGTTATGTAATTTGTTTAATGTTCGACGAACTTTTTCAACAATAAAGTTCATTATTGATTCGAAAAGAAGATTTTCTTGCAACAAAACATTTCTAGTATTTGAAATTTTCAGTTTGCTTTAATAATTTTAACACTAAATATATAAAAATAGAAACCTTAACACTGTTTGAAAAAAAGGATTTACAAGAATGTCCTCGTAGTATGTATTCTTTATTCCTATGTCTGGATAAACTATTTTTTTCCATATTTTTTACTTCTTTTAAGTACCTTATACTGTTTTGTTCGCTACAGAGTCAATTTATGGGTTGAAGTAAGGGTTAGTTCTAGAGTTTTCATAACCCTCTCAAAATATAGACACTATTTTTTTAAAAACTCATGACAAGCTCGCATGTATGACAGCATTTAAAACAACTATTATGTCGATAAATGAAAAAAATAGTTTACAGAAGAATTATTAAAGAAAACGTAGGTATCAGATAAAAAAATGAGCAAGACCAAGATCGAATAAGCATCACCAACACCAATACCAACAGTTGATCTTACTTTTGCTCATCACTATTGAACAGTGGCTATATTTAGAAGAATTATTTCAATAATAGATTTGGCATTTTCATTTCTTTAATACTGATATGCTAATTTAAACTAATCTGTGAATCTAATGTAATTTGCACTCAAAAAGAAGGTTCATCCTTGAGTGCGAGGGACATCCTTAACTGATTTAATTATTAAAATTGTCACGAATAAACGTATAAACATTTTTTCTAAGTTCATGGCCTTTGTAATTGGTTAGACAACCGAATTTCTTAATTAAAAATGTGCATAAATAATTGTGGGATTTAGGAGAGACGCTTCGACTTGTTCTTGATGTTGTTACTCAACAATTAGTTCGGAGAGTAATTTTTTCATAGAACTAGAATGTCACGGTTAACAAGATCCTGTTAGCTGGAAGATGTTACCCATACCTCTGCATTAATTACAACACAAATACTACAAATACACTGCCGTTATATGTGGTATTCATATTAGTGGATTAGTAGAGTTATGTAACAAATTATACATATATGAATATACATAAGTATACTAGCTGTAGGTACTTATTATTACGTAATGTAGCGGTAAAAATAGAAATTGGATTTTTCCTGCTATTAATCATAAAAAATAATTAGTCACTTTTCTATCTACAATTAAGGGTAGGCTAACTTTCTTGAGTTCCAATTTTCCTTGCGAAAGAGATTCAAATCATCACCAGTATTGTTCAGCGAAAATGTAGATAAAATCTGATGAGTTCGAGAGTGTTTACAGATTGATCTGATTTTAAAGTACAATGAATTTAAATATGTGAGTCAGATTGTTATCAAGGGGTCAAAGAAAGATAGAAAGTGGGTCGAACTTTCCACTGCCAGACACCAACAGAATAGATCATTTGTTTTACTGATGTTTAAATGATACCTAATGATGAAAGTGGTTGATCCTGTAGCATATACATTAACATTAACAATTTCAAACTGAATGGGAAACTAGATAGAAAAAGATCTTGTTAGCTTCCAAAACAACAACCAACTGCATTATGAAAGGATATAGTGCAATTTATCATGCCTATATAAATTAATAAAAACAATATTAAAAATAAAATTTCCCCCAATGAATAAAAAAATGAAGCTTCATCATAAGATAATAAAAAAAATATATGTAAGTTTGTAATAATCAAAACTAAACAGAAATTTGTAAAAGTTTCTTTGTACTTAATTAACAACACCTTGAGAGAAATTGTGAGAATTTGTCTCTACAATACTAATTGAAGAAAAATTATTACTTTCAGAATTGTATGCATTTGTAACTCTGGGAACTTTTTTTAGAATAATGGCTCAAAGGACAAAGTAAAATTAAGTAATAAACGAAACCTAGCTTTAAAATCACAAGGATTTATCTACTAAAAAGTAATAATTGTTGCAATATTACTTTTATAGTTTGTCAAAACTTTTTTGGTGTATCTTCAGTCGTAAGCGCCAGATTAAAATATTTTTCACTAGCAATATGTGTGATTTCATATTTACGTGCTGTTAATAATTGCAATAATATATGAAGTCCTAATATTCACATATACCAGTTGCCAGGACCACTTTCTCTCCTACTTTCTCTTTTATTTAATAAGAAAAAATGCAGAAACTGCATAAACTGCTACCTTCACCTACGTAAGTGTATTATAAACAATATGGAAAACTGTAAACTGCAGCAAATTCACTTGAAAACCTACTCTCATTTATCCTGGCAATTAAACAAATAGAAAATAACATTAGAAACAATATAATTGTTTGAATTAATGAACAAATTAACAAAAAGAAAACTCAAATCGTAAATAATTTGATACTTAACTGACTTTTCTTTATTGATTGATAAGAATATATTTAATTCCTTAAAATGAAATTAATATTGAAAGTACATATTTCGACTTTTTATAGTTTTCGCACTTTTAAATTGGTGTGGACCACATTAGGTGCAATTTTACCTTGCACATCAATGTGTCCTTTGATCCTTTGTGTCTGCTAATTGTCCTAATAAATTTCAAATCCTATTTTCACGGCTGCAGATTTTATGTTAGCTTTCTCTTCACATACGTACGCTTAAAAGTTATGTAATTTGTTTAATGTTCGACGAACTTTTTCAACAATAAAGTTCATTATTGATTCGAAAAGAAGAACCATTATGAAAGAAAGATTACGTATTTTGATTTTAGATGAAATGATTACCAATTTTCTTTTTAAATATTGATATTTAAGTTTAATTTTTGTTCATTTCAGTTTTAGGTGACTATGGTAACTATTGAAAAAGAAGATGAAACTAAAAAAATAAATGTAGATAAACAGTAAGTATCATATTTACTGAAAAGTAAGTAGATTTTTTTTCATTTTTGAAGTTGTAGTTTGTATAATATGTCTAAGTAAATTGATT